GCGTGGGCGGCACGGGGGGGATGGGTTTTGGCTGTGGAGCCATGAAGCGCTTGAGGCGGACCAAGAAGGTCTCTTCCTTCCCCGGAGCCGCACTTCGCTCTCGATCTGCCAGAGTTCCCTTGAAACGGGGCGTCGCTTCTTTGGCAAGCGCCGGGCGTGTGAATTCTCAGGATCCCTCGGCTGGGCTGAGGTTTGAGGGGAGGGAGCGGGGCCGTGGGGAGGGAGTTGAAGCCGGACGTGAGCTCAAGGCCTGGATCTCATGGCTGCTTAGAGAACTCTCTGGTTGTCCTTGATTGGGAGGGAGGAACGCAGAGGAGTGACCCGAATACTCTGCCAGGGCTGGAAAAGGCGTCCAGGAACAATTTTTGCTTGTCACTGGTTGCATGAGAACACAGGATGTGGCAATTGTGCTGAGAATCTAGTTTTATTTCTCCCCCCTCCCCCCCAGTGAAAAGGGCCTGCTTTTATGGGACTCACCAAAGCAAGCTGTCCTGGCTTTTGCAAGGCACCCCTGGGCTTGGAAAGCCCCAGGCAGGCGGTGCCCTCCCTCACCCCATGGGACTAGCCAGGGTGCTGATCCCAGGGTGAGCAGGCGTCATTCCGGACCAGTGTGTCCCCCTCTCCACTGTGCTGGGAAGAGCATGGGGACCGTCCTTTCCTCTCCCCCATGAACGGAGACGTGCCAGGGCGAAAGGGCAGATGCTGGCTGCTGGGCTCTCTCCTGGGAGGGGCCCTGCAGCTCTTGTTTTGAAACAGCTGCTTTTGTAAGGTCCCTTCCTTGCCGCATGTTTCTCAACAGCCCCGCCTTGCACCAAGGCAGCTGCCTGAGCCGACAGGGCTGCCCTGGAACCATCGGGGAGGCAGGTGCTGCCTCTGCAGGGTCCCAGGCCGGATAGCTCGGCACTGAGAGCCCAAGAGCCGGGCTACATTAGAGACCCGCCCAGGGCTGTATTTCAGCAGATCCCCATGGGGCACAAAGGCTGTTCAGGACCCTTGTGCAGCTGGTGTCCCCGCAGCTCCCCACTTAGAGCAGGGATGGGCAATTTTTAATTGGGGGGGGAGGACTCCAAGAATTGGTCAAGGGCCAGGGTCTTTCATGATTGTGATGGAGGAGGGGCAGGGTGTGGGGGTGCTCAGGGTAAAAGATTGGGGTTCAGGAGGGAAGTGGGGGGGTCTGGAAGGGAATGTGAGCGGGGGCAGTCGATTGGGATTTGTCCATAACATTTTAAAAACCGATCTCATCTAGGATGTTTGTTAGTAACCGGCGGGCACCGCGGTGGCACGGTATCCGGGCGGTGATGGGCTATTCTTGATGCCAGTGCTCTGAATACCGGGGGCAACTTTTTGGACCCAGCCACTGGAGGGGCTGGCTATGTACCTCTAGGTTTAAACCCCCCCCCCCCGGTTCATAAATCCAAATTTTTCCATTTCAGATGGGCTGAGACCAATGGTTCCGCTAATTTTTTTTCCGTCAATGGGCGGAATAAATTTTACGTGTGCGGATGTGCACCACCAGTAGACACACATGCTGGTGCCTGTGGGCACTCTGCTCATCAGCTGGGCAGGTCCTGAATCTCTCCTGGGTGGCTGCCCCAGCGCGCAGCTTACAGGGAACGCTGCCTGAGACTCTACCGGGAAATCTCCATGCCAGTTTATGGGGGAGGTGGGAGGCCTTAATGAGGAACTTTTTCCTAGTGTACATAGGAAGGATCCTACAACTCTCCTCCCAGGAATCTCCTAGTCTGCTGGCTAGCGGCTGCCCTCCGACCCAGAGGGGGCTGTTTTGCCAGGCTGTGGACATAGCTAAACATCTTAAGGACCCCTGGAGTGAATTGTGCCGTGGCAATGTCAGAGGCTGGTTTTTTTCCTCTATCTTCCCCACCCCCTTGCCACATAGCAAAGCTGTGCTCCTGGCAGCGTGTGGCAGGCACGCTGGGTGCCAGATTCTCTGGCATGTTGCTTCTCCCGCTGAAGGGCTGGGGCCCGGGATATTTGTTTTCACTTTCTAGGAGGCTAGAACAGGAAGCTAGCTCGTGCCACTTCCTCCAAACTGTATGCTCCGAGGAGTCTGTTTGGGCCCAGATAGCTAGGCCCAGGAGAGAGTAAAGGGTCAATGCCCCACGCAGTCGTAGCTGCAGAGGGCGTCCCTATTAGAGCAGCATCCCCCTCTCCCATGGTACTGGGAGGCTCAGAAACCACTCCCTGCCCCAGGGGCGTGTGCCGGGCACTGTTCCCTGTTGGCTGAGTGATTGGGCGGCCACCCAGGACTGATTAGCAGAGCCCCCACAGCCAGCAGTGTGTGTTTCTGTGGGTGGTGCACAAGCCTCAGTGCGTATAACACAACTTATTCCACACATAGATGGGAAAATGTAGAGGGAACACTGGTGCAGGGCCCATTGTGAGAAGGATTGCTGCTCAGGTGAGTTAGAATAGGCCCGTTGGTGCAGCAGTTTCCATGTTAATCCTTTGGCAAATAGCAATCTCTCTAAGGCTCTGCTTCTTCTACCCAGAAGTGCCACCTCCAGGGTAGAAGGAGGCAGCTGTGGGCAGCACTGAGCAATGCTTCTTGACAGGAAACAGAGTCCGGTGGAAATGGCCCAGGCCGAGCTGAGCAAGGAAGGATGGTCCAGTGGCTGGGGTATCCCTTTAGCACTTGGAGCCCTGGGTTCGGTTCCCTGTGACGCCAGAGTCTGTGCAACCTCCGCTATCTGTTCTGTGCCTCAGTTGCCCCTCTGCTCAGGGCTGCCGGGGAGGGAGGCCTCAGACATATCTTGGATGAAGAGGGTGGCTCCCTCACAGCTACCCAGGAGAGATTCAGTTGCCGCTCGGCTGATTAGTAGAGCACCCACAGCCGCCAGGAGCGGTTTCTTCTGATGGTGCACCTGACAAAATGTATTCCGCACGTGGATGGAAAACACTGGAGGGAACATTGCTCCCTCGGTTCTGTGGGATCATGAAGCAATTTTTAGAACGCGTGTCCACGATGAAGTGCCCGCTTGGGGGGGTGCCCAGTGTAAGATGTCTGGCCAGGGGTGTATCTTGGCTAATCACAAAATCACTGGTCACTTCTGAAATCCTCTTGCATAAGCCTGCGCCTCCGAGCAAGGAAAACCCTGCCCCCTTCCTCTGACTCAGAGTCGAAAGGTGCCCATCTGCTGAATCCCTTCCCGCTGGCTTTTCAGAGGCCTCCCCCCACTTAAGATCCTACCCCACAGTGAGTGGTGCTAGTATCTACCCCATACGTTTGCCCAAACTGTCCCCTGTCCTGCCTTGGGCAGGGCACCGCTCTCCCTGGAATAGGAAGTTCCTAAAGCTTGGAGAAAGGTGGCAGGGCGGATGCGCCGAACGCCCTCTCTCCAGCCTTGTTTACATGCTGCCTATGGCTGCAGGCTCAGGGAGCTGCCTGCGGAACAATGGGATTGGCTCCTGGCTGTCTCTCACGCCCTGCTCAGGTGGGCAGAGAATCGATTTCTGCTGCCACCGCCCCCTGTGGAACGGCAGGGATGTCACCGTTCAGTCGACTTGACATCTGGCCTTCTCAGTTAATCCTATTAACTTCACGCAGTCACCCCCCCCCGCCCCCTTTCTCCCCCTCTTCACAGCGA